CAATAATAATTCTAAACATCTATCACTAACATTTCGGTGTGAATGTTGTTTTTTTGTGATGTTATATAAAAAAACATAAAAACATAAAAACACAAAATCACTGTTCTAATTAGTCGATTAGGTTAAATACAGATTCAATTCACGACCTTATAGTAGACAGCCATTCCAAGGGTTATGTACAATTAAACAAAAAAAAAAAAAAATAGTAATAATAAAGGTGGGTATAAATTTAAGTTAAATCATGACATAGAACTACATGTCAAGCGAGGCGAACCCATTTGTGTGAGAACCCTGTCCAACCATTGCAGTGGTCCATTTAGATGTAGTTCTATCCAACAAGGGGTAGATGTGACTGTCTGTCGCCTATGAATATGATTAAATACAATTTTATATCCATGTTTTAAATAAAATAATATAGAAAAGCAAATATTATTTACCTATATTCAGCGCCCCAGCCCTTAACGAAAGACATACGTATCGTACACATACGAGTTAATTGGTACACTGCTTCAAAACCTTGACTCACTGATTGAGATAGAAGAGATGCAAATTCTTGGTTGTTGAAGATTTTTAAATTACAACCTAAATTAAAAAAAAAAAATAATAATTAATTAATTTTAGTGACCAAATTTGAACAGCAGAAAAAAAGAAAAATTAGTCAGTAGAAATTTGTAGAATTAATTAATAAATTTAAATTGATAACATAATATGTTATATTGTTTTTTAAAATATAATTAAAATATATTTTTTTTTATTCGTATGGCAACAATAACACAGTAACATTTAAAATACAATGAATAAAATTAAAATAAATAAAATAAAATATACACGTTGTATACGTGATATTGATAAATATATAATGACTAGTAAATATTAGAGACATGTAAAATTTGTAACAGAGTACCTAAGCCATTAAATTTTAAAAAAATAAAAGTTTTTAAGTCTGATTTATAACCATGTAAATAAAAAACAGATAATTTTATAAAATATTAGTAGTAAATCAAATATTAATATTTATTTTAAGAAGAGTAAACTATACAGGGTGTCCCGTGAGGATTTACTCATTGCGATATCTCCTGAAATAATAGAGATATCGTAATTCTGTTTTCTTATTAAGACTCACGGAGGTAAGCACTACAAATAACTAATTTTTTATTTTTTTTTATGTTTGGTAAAAAGTTAAAAAAAATTATTTTTTTAATTAATTATTTAAAAAAATATTGAAGATTGCCATTTTGTAGAGTTCATTTTTCTGAAAATATTGACGTTTCAACATTTTAATTTCATTAATTTCCTGATTTTTAATAATTTTTTTAATTAATAAGTAAAACGGCAAAAAACCGGTTTTTGTCCGGGCGGCGAGTCCCCCTCTATGGCTAATAGGTGAATCCTCACGGGACACCCTATATAACTGTATATTCAACAGGATAAAATATGATGTACACAATACTTACATTTTATTTTTAATAGAAATAGATATTTATTTACGAATTATAATTTATAGGTTATAATTGTTGAAGTTTTTAGAATTTCACTTATTATGATCATTACTTTTAATTAAATATCTAAGCATGTATACTTCATTGAAAATGTACTTGGAAAACTTAAAATGTAATTAATTTTCATGTTTAACAATAAAATTCAAGAAAAACTTTTTTTCTTACTAGCTTAACAAACAGTTAATATATGTTCTGTAATACATATAATAGTACCTATTCTAATATTTAACATAATATAAAAATATAGGGTTGCATATTTTATTTTACTTATACCTGGACAAACATTTTTGTATAATTTTAGTGGAAAAATCTTACTACTCCTCTACGGTCAACCACCAGTTAAAATAACCCATTTTTTTTTTGTTATTAAAATACCACATATAATATTCGGCACTCTACAAAATGTTTATAAGGTAGAAAATAATGTTATAAACTGGAATGAGTAACCGACAAAACAATCAATTAGTGACAACAGAAACCTTGTGTGGAAAAAGGAAAACAATAACCATAAATACTTTATCAAAACCAGTAGTCCTGCACAAACCGAGATGTATGGCAACTTTAAGAAAATTATCGTATATATATAAGGAATTGAAATTTGTATAAATAAGATTTATAAAATTGAGTACATACTTAGGTGATAAATATGATGGCTTATATAATATATTAATATATTATATTTAGGCGATTTTTAGTGTATCACAACATTAAATAAATCAATTAATTAAACATACCTGGGGGTATCTTACAGACAGTGGCTGGATGCCATCCATATCTCTGATTACAATTGGGTGACTGTACAAAAATACTAGAATCGCTGAGGCATTCTGCAAATACTTCGCCGCCAATGTAGTAGAGCCGTACACCTTTGCCGATATGTCGTCTAATCTGTTCAACTACACTTGTCCTATTGACGTTTGACAATAGGCCCAAGCAAAATCGTTCAGAATTACTGGGATCTGAAATTGATTAAGGAAATTATTTTGTGAGTTATTTATTTAAGCAAAAAATGACTTTAGTTACCTGTGAAGCCGTCAACCGATATAGAAGGTTGAGAAGCGTGGAACGTCTCTCCAACTCTGGTATTGAGCTCGTAATAGCTGATTGAGCACCAAAACACGGGTTCGCAATAGAGGACGGGTTGAGTGTCTAGTACTCCCATCACTGTAGGGTTGGGACTCATACCTACACATATCATAGGTATTATTATACATAAGGGAAAAGTGACGACGATTAACAAAATACACCGTAGCCGGGCTATCACTATGACAACTACTGCTACTGAACAATACTCACTGTGAGATTCGTTGTTGTCGCCGTCCTCGGACATGTAGCCCGGCGGTGTAGTCGGTGAATCCATCATCTCGGAGTTGTGGAGCGATTTCGCACCGGTGCCACTAGCGATATCCCGAAACCGATCGCCAACCGTAAAGGCGCAAACAACGAGCTAACACGCTCCGGGAGGCCGGCAAACGGAATACCAGAAACGGCAGACCGGGACAAACGGAAAATGAAAATGTCTTCTTTACCGGCACGCGGCGCCAAGACACAAGGACGCCATAGTGAAATAACACGAAACGAAGAAACAACAAACACCGATAAATCCCGGCGACCGACGGTCTTGGAAATTACCGTAACAATTTATTGGAATATTATTGTGATTTGTGAGTCGTCGGTACGTCACGCGCCTCCTACGCTATCTTCGAACGTACCTGTCTACAGGCCGCTGGTTGCTACAATCACGGAACAATCAATGTTAAATCGGGAATGTTTTTTTTTTTCATCACTTATTTTTTGCGCCTCGTCTCTCCGAACGTCGTCACTCGACACACACACACACACACACGTATAGTCGTTTAAGCAGTTTGCACGGTAAGACACGGGCGCGTGCGAAACTCCTCCACCGCGTTTGTAGATGGCGCTCGTAGCCAAACGCGGACGAGTTCGAAGTGTCTTTGCAATTTTTGGCGAAGGCGCGGTGTGTGGGTCGTGGGAGTTTCAGCCACCGAACGTTGGAGGAAGCCTCGCGAAATTGCGAAAATGCGAAATACATACCGGCCATACCGGCAAATCAGATCCCTATCAATTACCTATTATCATAAATCATAATAATAAAAAAATATTCAATAGGTAGGTCTAAATATGTCCAAGCCTCCATGGGGTGGAGGGGCTATGGCCCGCCGCTTTCTTTTGTCAATGTTTGTTTATTATACAGGGTGTCCCGTGAGGATTTACTCATTAGCCGTAGAGGGGGACTCGCCGCCCGGACAAAAACCAGTTTATTGACGTTTTACTAATAAACTAAAAAAATTATTAAAAATCATGAGATTAATGAAAATAAAATGTTAAAAGCTCAAAATGTTCACAAAAATATACTCTATAGAATGGCTATCTTCAATTTTTTCAAAAATAAAAAATAAAAAAATAATTTTTTTAACTTTTTTACTAAAAAATTTAATTTAATTAAAAAATAAAATATTTGTAGTGCTTACCTCTGCGAGTCTTAATAAAAAAACATAATTACGATATCTCCATTATTTCAGGAGATATCGCAATGAGTAAATCCTCACGGGACACCCTGTATATATATGCATAAATGATAAATGTATAATATACACCTAGCCCCTCCGGTGAATACTACTGCAAGCGCCCTTGCTATTAGTCCAATTCTCTAAATATGTCTATGATAGTATGATGATTGATGAGTATGATGTCAGTGATGTACCTATACCTACTGATGTGGTCGTAAATTAAGCTAAGTTCAAAGAGACGTGAATCTATTAGAGTAAACCACTCTTTCGGTCCCACGAAAAAAAATGAAGTTTAACTATAACTTGGTTAAAAAATAAATAAAATGTGGGTGTTCCAAGTCTCATCGAATTTCGGGTGACATGATTACATGAAAGTATGAAACAGTGAGGTTTTTAATGATTTTAACTCATTGTAACTGTAACATGAATACATTTAAATAAAATATTGTACCCAAACGTTGCATTCATTTTTGATGTCTGAAAAAATGTGTAGGTACCTAAACGTTAAAACGTGTTACTTGTATTCCCTATCATTCTCCCAATTTCAATGTATATATATATTTTTGAACTTATAACGCATAGTACAGGGATCGGCAATTAAATTCTATGACGGTCCAGATAATTTGAAAAACAATTTTCGAGGGCCAGAAAAAACTTAAATATTAGTTACCTAATATAATGTGTTTATTTTTGTGTTAAAAATACAGTTTAAACTATTTAAAGCCAATTATAATATAATATTGGCCAGTTATTTCCCCTCCAAGGGCCGGATTCAGCCCGTGGGCCACCTATTGCCGACTCTTGGTATAGTGTAGCCCTGTAGGTACTAGGTACTTATACAACTGTTGAAAAATTGATATAGAGGTACTCTTTGTAATTGGTTTCACATTTACAATATTCATGTTACAACGTTTATTCATATATTTTTGCATTTATCAGATAATATAATGGTTGCTGTTTTTTTTTGCTTTGCCCCCCACCCCACCACCATTCCAAAATCCTGGCTACACCACTAACGTTAGTAGGTACTTAGGTATTATAAATAATATATTATTATAGAAATATAAACATATTGCGAGACTGCGAGTAATGCATTAACATCTATGATAGTTAAGTAGGTACCTACTCTTTTAATTTCTTATATTTTTTAAAAACAAAATTATATTTGTATATATATATTATAGAGAGAGAGAGATCTATAGATAAATAAGTTAGAGCATATAGATCTATATACTCGAGTATAAATTACAAATATCTGACTGTGTTCATCAATAATATTTTATTAAATCCAAATGCCACATTTGATAATTATATGTGTTTTATTGTTGAGCCAATGATACCACATACAAAACGAATACTAGTTTTAATATTGAAGAATGTATACTTAATATAGATGAGTTAGATGTTTTTCTGTCTTATCAGTTGTCAGTTTCAAACAACATTAACTGAGATAAGTTCTACCAGCATTATTATTATTAAAAAAATTAAAAAATGAAAAGTTATTTTAATAAATAAAAGACAAAAAAACAATAAAAGTTTTCTTATGGTCTATAAAAAAATAAAAAATTTTGTAGGACAAATTTTTATGAAAAATAGGGTCTGCGTGATGTTGTTTAATTTTTATGGAAATCATGACCATTATACAGTATACACAATATGCATTTATGTATGCTAATCCGTAATGGAAATGTATATACTATATATAAATATATTGCAGTACATTAGAATGGTACCACACTACCACCACCAGTGTACCGAGATTTATTTTTATAGTTATATTCGGCACGTATCATCATAATTAAAATATAGTAATATCATTGTATTCACGTGATCCGTGGTGACATTGATAATTATTATTTTTTACTTGATACAGATGTAGGTAAATTTGCTGTTGCAGTTGTAAGAAATCTAGACATGCATTAAGTCAATAAAAATTTAATAATATAATGTAACGTACATAATTAATGAGCCTGATGTAAAAAAAAATAAAAGCAAAATAATTAATTGAAATCATAATAAATCACTTGTAAGAATAGTTGAACATAAATTGCTACTTTTGATATAACTAAATTTTACTTAATTATTATTAAACCTATTATAAAAGTAAGATATCAATCAATATTCATGGATGTTCACAAACACTTATTGCATTGGTACTTATGCTATGGGCATTACCTATCATTTGAAGACATTCTTCATATAATACAAATGGCCGTTTTACATTAGTATACAAAAGTTTAATAAATGAATATAAATAATTTAAATGCTGGAAATGATCTTTTGGATCGACTGATTTTGTAAATTCCATAAATTGTAAGCATTTGAATGCCACAATATCTGCCATACTATGATTCAGAACATTTCTATAAGTATATAATAAACATAATATTTAAACATAATTACAATTATAAAATTTACGTATGTAACATACAATGCATTAAGGTGATGTGGTATACAATTAAATGTTGGCCAATTCTTTATGCAAGGCTGGCAGTAGCACTTAAAGTAAAAACGATCATTGCAAAGTTTTTGCCTTGATTCTTTATCATGTTCTTTAAAAATAATTCCATAAGTACAGTACAACTAGATAGTAACAAATAAAACAAGTATAAAAGGTATATAGTTATTCAACAATATAATTGGCAAAATAAATAAAAATACAATAGATATTATAGTCAAAAAGTATGTCTTCTTGTCTGCAGACATGTGCAATACCTGAAGTTTATCCTAAAACAATAATATTATTTTATGGTCAAATTGTAGTATTCTATTATTTCTATAATCTATATAATATTTTATAAGTAAGCTCTGCTAAATAGTGTACCTCGACAAGTGAGTATCCTACTATACATTAGTTGTCAAGTGAGTCATCGTAATGGATGTAATGGTTCAGTGGCGTAATTACGGGGGGGATTTGGGTGTCGTGCCCCCCCCCTTGACCTTTTTTTTTTTTTTTAATCGTCAAACACATTTATGTACTAATTTTATTAATGTATATTTCATAGATAATACAAAAATCACCCGAATCTCCATAATATTATACAAATATATAGTCATCCATCAATATTATCATATACAGTGTGATCACGATTTTAGGTACCACTGAATATCACAGATGGATGACTTTGTATTGAAATGGGGTTTTCGGGAGGTGATAGGGAGCACTTAAATACATATTTTCAGACCAGTTTCAAATTTTTAGCTCACTCGGTACGCGCATGCCGCATGCGCAATATTACTTTTTTTTAAATGGCAACCCCAGTTTTTTCTGCAGATTCAGGTAGAGTATTTATTTTTGAACATTTATTGAACATTTATGCATAATTCGTGTTTAATGATATTTTCATTTGTAACCAGTTGAAATAATAAAATAAGAGCCAAATAAATGTTTAATGGCGGACGGAAATCGGCCACAACCGACGCCTTAGTCCACTCAGCCACCCTCCCCCCCCTAATCAAACATTTATTTGGCACTTATTTTATTATTTCAACTGGTTATAAATGCAAATTGCATTAAACACGTATTATGAATAAATCCAAAATTTGACTTTCTCTAACTTGGTCAGTTTTATAAATAGAAAAACTTTCAATACAAAAAATGTTTAAAAAAAAATACTCTACCCGAATCTGTAGAAAAAAAGTGGGGTTGCCATTTAACAAAAAGTAAGTCAAATTGCGCATGCGCATACCGAGTGAGCTAAAAATTTTAAACTGGTCTGAAAATATGTATTTAAGTGCTTCCTATCGGCTATCACCTCCCGAAAACCCCATTTCAATACAAAGTCAGCCATCTGAGATATTCAGTGGTACCTAAAATCGTGATCACACTGTA